CCCTTGCCCCTAAACCCCTAAACCCCTAAACCCAAAGCCCTAAACCCCTAAATCCCTAAACCCTCAAACTCAAAACCCTACCCTTGAAGGAACCCCAAATCCCACGACGTGACCATCCATCCCGGCCAGGAGACTCGCCGGTGCAGATCGACGACTCTGCTCTCGAGGTGCGCGACCAGGCCCAGACCTAAACCCTAGGTCCTAGGTCCCGAAAACCTCTATATATATATATAGGTATATATATATATATATATAGCTTTTTTAAGGATCTATATGTAAAGAAATCCCAATCAGGAGAAAGGTGGGCTTTACGGGGTGCGGTAAACCTTAGGTTTAGTTGGTTCTTTTTTGGTGAGGGTCAGTGTACGGTTTCCTTTAAGGGTGATTGTAAGGGTTATACATGTTAAAGCTTGAACCGTCATCCTAACCATCCCAACACAAATGGCAACTCTCAACACCTGAGGCCGAAGCACCTAATACAAAGGCGTTCTTCAGAATTAGAATACTATTCCTTAGGGTTCCTCTTTTTGGATGATACCACCGAAGCCCCGTTATCCCAAATTCTAAATTCAGAAGCGTGGGTGACACCTGGCCGGTGGGCCGTGTCAGCCAGGCTCCCGCTGTGAAAGCGCACCTTAGGCATCTAGGGGGTTTGGGGGTTAGGGTTAGGGGAGCTTTTGTTGGGCAGTTGGGGGTTTGGTCGTATAGCTTGCCGCCATCCAGCTCTGGACAGCTTTTGGAACGACTTAACTGTTACTAGGCTAGCTAGCCACGGTTGTCTTGACTGCTGATTTTTGCGTTTACTTGGCTTGCGACTACTACTCGGTACTAACAACATAGCAAGCCACATTTGCAGGACGATGCTCCACACGAAGAAGACATCTTGAGGACCGCCCTTGGTGTTTTGAAGTGTTCGAGGCTTTTGAGAAGCCCCTCAACGAGGACGTTCGGGGTTTTGACGTCTCGGGTCTCATCGCTGATGCTTGAATGTGGAACCTTTCAATTGACGGAAGGCTCCCCAACGGTTTCCGCTTCGGGGCATGCCAGGGGGTGAAGGGCTCAGGGCTTTGTCCCAGGACCGTCCGGCTAAGTACTGCCGAGCATCTGCTTTGAGCACAGTGGCCATCGCAAAATGCCCTGGTCATATCCGCAGCGTGACGTTTTCTAGAGCAGATCATTCAACATAGTCCCCAGTACAAGGAGCATCACGCAGAAGTTATAGGATGCAGTTAGTCACTAAATAGTTGCAGTCTTCCTGACAGGCTGCCTATGTTCCTGGCTTGCGCGCGCAAGGCCACGGTCTTATCAGAAGCATCATTGTGATGACCAGGGACTAGTGCTTGTGCGATCGTTATGCATGGATCGTTATGCATGAGCACGATAGCTTCTTGCACAATCATGCTTGGAACACGCTGCATAGCCTTCGTCTAGAAAGTTTGAGCACCTTGGAGTGCAAGAGACCAGCAACAAATATTACCAACAATACGCACTAAACCGCCATAGTAACGGTAAGAAAAGAGAAACCAGACGAACAACAATAGACCTAGTACCGGCAATCGTAACAATCCCAGTCTAAGCCATGCTGAAATGTATCGAGGTGCAAAGAGTCTGGCGTTGGCAGTGCCGCGACCTCTGGGCCTTGCAGCTGTAGGTGGATTAGGTCAGTGCCAGGACGTGCTCACAACCCGGGAGAAGATGCGTTCAAAGGTTTGATTTCTGATTTGCTTCGACCGAAGTTTCTTCGACCCAGCCGGAAGATCCCAAGCAACGAGCCCCAAACTCTAAACCCGAAATCCCCAACCCTGGGCACCCACATGACCCCTCAACCCTAAATTCCAAACCCTACACCCCAAACCCTAAACCCTGAGCCCCAAACCCTAAGCCTAAGCCCTAAACCCTGAACCCCAAAGCCAAAACTGGCCCTAAACCCGAAGACAGACTCGATACTTGAGGCCAGCGGAAGGCTACACGAGGAGCCTCACAGGCCCGAGATGGGAACGGGGCATCCCGAGCCAGGGGAAGAGCATCATTAGGGTTTAGGGTTTAGGGTTTAGGGTTTAGGGTTTAGGGTTTAGGGCCTGGGGTAACAACTGGAAAGTCAAATCGAGTTATCCCGGCGGCTTCGCCTGGCAGGATCTGGAGAGCCCGAAGCACCAGGAGGTCGCCAAAGTCGCTGAGGTTTCCACTGAGCTCCGCCAGCAGTTCTCACTGTGGGATGTGCTTCTTGTGGAGAGTTTCGTTTGTCATTTCTCAATTGTTCTCCTGACTTCTGCCCAGGCAGACAAAGATCGGCCACCAGGATCCGCTGAAAACACGGCGGAAGCTCGTGGCAATGGCGTGGTACCTCTCACCTCCGGGGTGCAGCCAGGAGAGCCTGCATTGCACCCTGAACCCGAAACCCGGAAGTTTGTAAAATGCAATCATAGTGTAGCGAAAATTGCGCCCTAAATCGAAAAATCAATTGCCGCAGGTGATGCCGACCCTACCGAAGGGGTTGGCAAAGCAAGCAGCATTGGTCGAGAGACCGGTGCAGCAGAGACGCAGCCAACATCTCCTGCGGATGCTTCCGCTGCCAAAGAAGCAGCTGGTGAGGCCAAGGACGAGGTGCCAAAGTTTGAAGGTCCAACGGGTGTGGAACTTGGTCTCGGGGAGTGCTCCTCGAGGGATCAAGAAGGCGACGATCGTGAACGTGTGGATTCCGGACCTAGCCAGTGCATACAGCCTCCAATCCGCACTAGGTTTGCAGAAGAAGAAGCGGCTGGTGGCGATGCGAGCAATACCTCAGCTTCCGGACAAGTTGAGTTCACGGCAGAGAAGGGCCAGGCATCAAACTCGATGTGTCGTCCTTCGGCCACAGAGCTTTGTCCCGGCGATGGTGCCCTCAGCTACTCGGAGGATCCCGCGTCGCCTTCGGAAGACGGGGCATTCTCGAGGGCAGCAGGAGCAGAGGACCATCCCGACCAAGCCATGCAAGGGCCTTCAGATGCCGAAGCTGCAGATGCTGAGAAACCCACAGATGATGTGCCGAAATCAGATCGACCGACGGCGGAGGAACTTGGTCTTGATGATGATTCCCGTAGCTACTCGGAGGATCCAGCGTCACCTTCGGAAGACGGGGCATTCTCGAGGGCAGCAGGAGCAGAGGACGATGCTGAGAGACCCACAGACGAGGTGCCGAAATCAGATCGGCCGACGGCGGAGGAACTTGGTCTTGA